CATCTATGAAAGGAGAAGTTGGATAAGACTGTCTAGGTTCTTTGCAGTTCTAAAACTCTGACAGCCTAAGGGAATTAAATTAACTAGATTCTTTGCTATGTCTTCTGTATTCCGTAATATATGATGGTAGTAACAGGATTTTAAATAATTCTGATTTATAGCAAATTAAGGAACTAGATGCTCTTTACGTTCAAGTTGTATAATTAATTCACTATCTTGATAAAAATGGCAGCTGAAAAATATACCATTGGCTATGGCTTTTGTGGAATGTTCCAGAAATATGCTAGATGACGTCCAACTAGATTAGAGTCAGTGTGGTGAACTGGAATGAGGCATGGCATTTGAATCAGAAATCAATTCTATCACTATTTCCTTTATACCAAGATATGCAGGACACAAAGCTGAGTGCTAAAAAATGAGCAGGATCCAGTCCTAAGGTGTAGTAACTGACAAAACACACATGCATATAGATAAAATACGCAGTGCCGTGGGTACTCAAAAGGGAGGACATGTCCTATCTGAACCTGAAAATTGTTTCATGGGGAATGTAGAACAGATGCCAGGAATCCGAGGAGGGAATGAATAGACAGAACAGTCATGATGCCACTCTAGCTGGCTTGGGAGCTTATAAGCTTTTTGACCTTGGGAAAGTCACATAAACTTAACCTCTCCCTACTGAAAAAAGTGAGGAAAGATAACCTGCTCTGCCTACTTCATAGGGTTGTTGATTAATGTCAGAGTGCTTGGAAAACTATGAGGGAGTATGATCCTGTTATTATAGTTTTTAGGCCTACTTTTTTCAGTCTATTCAAATAAGAAATCTTTCCACAGTAAAGGCTATCTCTGACATAAAACAATTAGAACTTTATGTCTCAAGCTATACTTGCAGAATGTATTCTCAACTAAGCAATTTAGGGATAACGGTAGGACAAAGTGCTTTTCTGAAGGTTGACAATGAACCTACTAAGGCTCAGAGTTCCTTGTTTATTTTTATTTTACTGAACTGTTAGCAGCATTCAACACTATAGTGATATGAAACTAGGAAATGGGAAAATATGCTTTCATGTCTCAAATCTCATCTTTCTACTAGTTAATTTCATTGAGAATTGTGTGTTTAAATACTTACTCTGATCTATGTGACTCAGGAATGATTACAGTATTGTGAGTGTTTCACTGTTGCTATTAATAGAAAACATTTAAAGCACTATGATGTGTGAATTTTCAGAGGCAATAGGCAGGGGTACTAGTACCATCTTTCCCTCTTTTTTCCTCCCTTAGCATAAATGGCCTCTTTTATGACTTTATAATTGACAATTAACAACACTGAAAACTCTGTCCACTTGTGGATTTCTATAATATAGATAAATTTACTGTTTTTCTCACTTTACTTTTGCAGCACTGGGTTGGACCTTGTTAGTTCATTGTAATGGCGGCAGGAAGCAGATGAATCCTAAGTAGACAGGGATGGGTTCCCGGTGAAACCTGACCTTCAAGTCAAAGACAGTTTAAAGCCTAGCTACAAGTCCCGGGGTAAATCCATGGACTGGTTTGAAAACCTGTCTTCCTGTTTTGCGTGCTTTTCTCTGATTGAACCCAAGCCTTCACATATTTTACATACACCTACCCTTTCCTAATTGGTATTTTACACTGTTGTGCCCACCTCTAAGTGGTGCCTTTGTTTGAGCCTTTTTTTGCATACTCACAAACCAATCAGCACACACTTCCTATTCTGAGCCCATAAAAGCCCTGGACCTAGCCACATGGAGAGAAACCACCCAACGTTGGGTAGAGGACCACCCTTGCATCCCCTCTCCACTGAAAGCTGTTTCACCATCAATAAATATTTTCTCCACCCTTCTCACCCTTCAATTGTCAGCATGATCTTGCTCTTGGATGCAGGACCAGAACTCAGGATCCACTGAACATGGGTACACCAAAGGCTGTAACAACTGTGGTCGTCTGCCCTCTGCTAGCAGAGGGTAGTGACTCCATGTGATGGGAAGCAGCAGCAAGGCTGAACCAGCCCTGGAGCCATGAGCCAGAGTGAGGCAAGGGGCTGACAGAGCTGTTAACACGCTGCTGTCCACTGGGCTGCAGACAGTAGGAGTAAAAGAGCTAATCAGCATGCTGTAACATCCCCTCTGGGGCTTCAGGGTTGTGGGCACTGCTGCCTGGACACCACTGTGTTCATGATGCCAGTCTACCGCCGGAGTGGTTTGTAACACACCTGGTCCAGCTGCAAGCCCCGCATGGAGCCCAAGTCTGTGCTGGCACTCAGAACAGCTGGCTGGACCCTGCACTCACTTGCTCACGTACCGCCTCCCATTGGCAGCTGAGCACACACTCACAGCAGCCACAGGATCTGGGCTGGCGTGCAAACCAGGCATGGTCCAGTGGGCCGAGTGGATGGGGTGCCTCCTGCGGCAGGCCCAGGGCTCAGTGAGGCTCTGGGTGGGAACGTTGCTGGCTGTGGAGGTTCCCAGCTGGCAGACTGACTGAGAGAGATCCTGCATCAATTCAAAGTCAGTTCTTGACCATCCTGGCCAACACAGTGAAACCCCATCTCTACTAAAAATACAAAAATTAGCTGAATGTGATGGTGGGCACCTATAGTCCCAGCTACTCAGAAGGTTGAGGAAGGAGAATCGCTTGAACCTGGGAGGCAGAGCTTGCAGTGAGCCAAGATCGTGCCACTGCACTCCAGCCTGGGCGACAGAGCGAGACTCCGTCTCCAAAAAAAAAAAAAAAAAAAAAAAAAAGAAAAAGTCAATTCTTCAAAGACAAAGGATGTTCTGCTTAAGCAGGTCATCAGAGACAATTTAATTCAACCTCCAAATATTACAAAAGAGAAGCCCAAGGCTCAGCAAGCATGATTTTTCCAAAATAATGAAGATGTTGGTAGCAGAGCCAAGGTTTGACCCAAGGTCCCAATTCCTAACTCAGGTTCCTTGCAGAACACTACACTGCCACAGACCCATATTAACATGTGTGTCAAGTGACTTTAGTTACCACTTAAAATCTGTAAAATGATGTTAATGGGTCAGCCATGTATACACTTAACTATATCTACCACTTTGCTGGGTTAGCCATCTGAAAGCCCCTTTTTAAAGACTACACAGCTTTCTTTACTTTTCCCATAGATATCGTCATTCCGTGAACTTATTCTACTGAGCCTTTTAAACATGACTCCCTCATCATGCCCAATTTTTTATGTCTCAGGAATATCAGTTTAAGGTCATTGTACTGATCATGTTTTTACTTGATAAGACTCTGAATGTGAAGGTGGGGAATTCCCTTTTTTAGATACCCTATTATTTTTTTCTCTTAAACCTTAAAGAATCTATATTTTAATGCTTGTAGAATTTGCTTCATTATATGTACACAACTTTATTGAGATAGAAAGTACTCCATTAAAATCATACTAATATGAAAGGGCATTTAGGTTCCACTAACAAACACTGATGAACTTAGAATAAACAATTCTGAAGCTGGATGAGTGAGTGATTCACAGAAATATCAACCACATTTAGCTAGGGAAAAATTACCAAGATCGATAGGTTTTGAAAACATATTCATTTCTTCCTTCAATTAAAACAAACAAATCATGCAAGTAGAAAATTCAAATTGCTATTTTAGCAATGTTTTCCACTCTGTATGATTCTAAAAATTCCTAATGTTAAGCTGATAGAATTTTCCATAAGTTTGTAGATCAAAACTCATATCTCATTGACCGGTAACCTCATTCTTTAATCTTATTTTACAGATATTTTGTCATCTTGTGGGGTTTTTTTTGGGGGGTAGGGAGTATATAGTCACACAACTTACAAATACATATGTACATAAAATATAAATATGGAACTTTCAATTTTCATAGTCAGATTCGTAAGCCTTACCAGAAAAAAGTATGCTTCCTTATGCATCAGAGAAATAATGGATTATATTTCTGATGCTTAATGAAACTGCTTTGTGTAAGAAAAATGATATGAAAGTTCATAAATTTACAGAACAGATATAGGCATAATTTTAAATCAATCAAAGAATAAAGGATACACTAAAAGGTTGAAGTCAACAACCAAGGAAAGGACAGAAATCCTTTAGATTCTAAATTTACATTAAACTTGGAGGCCCCAGTTGATCAGACAGAGCTTTGGCAATGGAACCCACAGACAGACTGACTGACTCAGAGACAGTTAGACAACTGCCAACATGACTGTTGGGAGGGTTGCCAAAGAGCCAAAGGCTGGGATTACCATCCAATGCCTGGCATTCTGATATTCGTGTTTGAAGCTTTCTCTCTTATACTTCTTCCAATATTTTTGTTTGGCTCAAAAGTAGCAAGGATTCACAGATTTTTTTTAGATCATTAAATGTTCTTATTTTCAAGAAATATAACATTAGTTGTAAAAGAGCACACTTTTTCTCTGAAGTGTAAAGAAAATTTTGGTGAATTGCTTTACGCTCAAATAGAGAATTCAGTGTTAAAGTCTGTTTAAATCTTTATTTTATTACTCTTAACCCCTCAAATAAGAAATATTAATACATATCATAATATAAAATAATTTAGTGTTTCATTGTATCCACTCTTATGGAACTGGTCCTTTATATAAAGCTACTTTCTTGATCTTCATATGGCCCCCAAGGTTCTACTTGGATAAATAAACCCCTGTGTGGGGTACCAATGACAATATAGTTTGGCTATAAGGAGTGGTAGTTCCTCAACTATTTCCTTGACTTGTGAGGAAGGGAAAAGCATAGAACAACCTTCTGTGGGAAAAGAGACATGTGTTCCAGTTTCTTATGGCAAGGTCCACTTAATTTGCCTGCTGAGTTGCTGGCTACTGAGGTATGTGAGTTTTGGCCTACAACTTTAGGCAAATGCTACCATTAGGCAATTCATCAACTATTAGGCAAACTCCACATTCGGAATTCTTAGACTCTACACAGAGAAGTCTATTTTTTACCCAACTTAAAATTATGTATATCCTACTGGGGAAGCTTACCTTTGGGTCTCTAAGGAACAGAGCCTTAAGAATCAGTGAGTGTACATCCCCGATGAATGGGTAATGCATCAGAAGGCCGAGACAGGTCTGGTAGTTACTAGAGATCACTAAATAAGAGGAAAAAATAATTCAGATGCAATACTATTTAAGATACTCTGCATTGCTGAGAATATAAAAATTAACAACTCAGAGTCAATGAAAGCAAACCAATAACTCAACTGATTTGATAAAAGGAAGTAGAAAGAAGGGATCTTTACCAAATTGCCTTTGAAGGAACACATTGTATTGTTAACTGCAATCTAATGTATTAGCACTTATCCTCAGGGGGTGTTGGAAAGAAGAACTTCATATACAGATATGTGTACATCTGCAACATAAATTCTCAGAACCATGCATATTTATTGCCATTTACATGGCTGTGTTTAAATGTCTCCTCTTTTTCTACTTAGAAATTAGTAATAAAAGTCGTATGAATGGAAAAGAACCAGTTTGAGATTTCCATGAAACAATATTTACCTTGATTATTATGTATTATAACTTGTTACATTTTTTCTTTTGTATGGGTAAATATTATATAATTCAAAACTAAAGAAAGTAGAATTTCTACTAATTATTTGTTTTTCTAAAGGTAACAAGAGATTTAGGGAGAGAATATCTAAGCAGCATTTCTTGGAGGAAAAGTGTCAAAATTGTCATAGGTTAAGTCTAAATGTGTTCTGTAGCCTGTCATTTAATTTTTTTTTCAAATCAACCTAATTATGGGTGTAACTATGAAACACATCTTTTCAGGCAGGTGTATGTAAACTACTTTACTTCTTGGCAATCTCATCTGCCACTGCTGTCACAGTCAGGCCCACTAACAATGCTTGCTTTGTGAACCACACTGACTGCCTCCACAGCACTGACTGTGAAGAAACTTTACAGTTTTAACTTCTGTGGTTGCAACTGAAGCCTTTCATTAATCAGTTACTTGAAAAATGTTCCATAAGAAAACAACTGTGATTCAATAGAAACAACATGAACAACTAGAAGTTATAATTAGAAATATCTTTGATTTTTAGATTATTTTTTCTTCTGCTGTTGGAATACTATTTCTTGCTATAACTTTCTACTGCTCCCCCTCCTATGAGCACTATGGGGAAAGGAGACAGGACTGGGCAAAATGAATAATTATAATCTATGTAAGGAACCACTTTATCATCTTCATTTCCATTGCTGCTATGACAGCTTGTAATTTCATACATCTGCTTTCATTTGTAAAGCACTCACTTATCCTACCCTTTCTGTATCTGTTCAGACTCTTATTTGTTCATTTTTTCATATTTACCTTCAGTTACCTGCTGTCCTTTTTTTCTCTAGAAATTCAAAAAGCTAAGATACTGAGAATAGCATAATGGTTTTATGTACAGATTTCTTTGAGATCTAGCAAGTAATTAAGACTTAATCAATTCACCTTATAACTCAAAAAGTAATTATACATTAGTAATTGACCAAGAAAGAATTCTTACATATTTTGTAAAGAGGCAGGAAAGTTTTGTGGAAAAGTTTTTGATCTCATGACACAGAGATGTAGGTTTGAATCCGGGGCTTTATTTGAACCTTTCATCAAGTTGCCTTAAGATTAAATGATATAATCTATGAGACTGATTTATAGCAGCTGTTTAAAACCAGTTCAGGTAACCTCTGTGAGCTTAAGTTTAGTCACTTGGAAAACAACTTTTTGATTGAAAAAATTTATTTGACTGCTTCATTCAACCCAATAATTATTTGCTGAGTACCTCATTCACGACAGGCCCTATGCTAGGGGAGCACGTAGAGATAAACAAAACTGAGTCCTTGCTCTGGAGAAAATTACAGCACAGAAGGGCAGATGTATAATACCAAGCAGCTATTACTACTAACACGACTAAGCTAACAGTGAATTATTAAAGCTTTCTGTAGCCAGGCCACATGCTAAGAACTTTACCTACATTATCTCAATTAATTTTTATGACATTCTTATAGAGGGACAATTATTATCTTTGTTTTACAGATGCAAATATTGATACTTGGAGAAGTTAAGTCACTTGCACAAGTTACCAGTGATTCCCTAGAAGGGCAAGATTGGAAACCCAAAAGTCTAGCTGCAGAGTCTGTACTCTATTACAAGACATTTGTTTTGAAAGGCCATTGTTTCGAAAATCAAGAGACATCATGGATGCATACTATAAAGTATTACTACTATTCTAGTGAAGCAGTTTTAACTATACTAGAAGATCAGCATAACCCAGTCTCCAGAAAAGCTTGATTGATTGATTAATCATTTATTTATTTATTTACTATGTTTTTTTAAGAGACAGGGTCTTGCTCTGTCACCCAGGCTACAGTGCAGTGGCATGATCACAGCTCACTGCAGTCTCAAACTCCTGGGCTCATGCAATCCTCCTGCTCCAAGCTAGGATGGACTACAGAAGCATACTGCCATGCCTGGCTAGTTTTTAAGTTTTTTGAAGAGACAAGCTCTTGCTATGTTGTCAGACTGGTCTTGAACTCCTATAGAACAGACTGATTTAGATATAAATATATAGATAGAGACTAGAGCAATAATCCTGTTATTATAAGTTGTTAAAACTTTTCAAGCTATCAGAAGCTATAAAATATATAAAGGAAGCCAAATAATGTATTAAAATTCTACTTGAGGAACAAATGAAGAAGCTAACATTCTTTTATCTTTCTATTCATCCATCCAATCACTGCATGCAATGAACATTTCCTGAGCATCTACTAAATGCCAGATATCCAGAGGCTATGCTAGGCACTGGCACTAGGAATATAACAGCTAATAAGTTAAGTTCACTGCTTTCAGATAACGGTATCTCTAATTTGCTAATGAAAATCCACACTTTTAGAAATACCCTTAATTTGCAAATAGATATGCTAAGTATTAAATCTCCTTTTGAATAACTACAGCAAGTTTAAAGTAGGTAGAAGAGAATTACGCAAGCTGGTTTAAAAACAAACTAGCAAGGATCTGACACAGTAAGAATTTAGTTTTGAACTTCACAGTAAACTTTTATTGAAAATGAAAAACTAATCTGTAATACTGTTCTTTCCCCAATATTTATTCTATCAGAGCAGGGCAGAGACATGAGGTAACAAGTGAAAGATTAAGAAAAATTATTGAGTTTTGGCATCTACCTGCATTTGAAATGAAGTATGTTTATGCTTTAAAAACAAAATAGTGAAGGCACATTCTAAAGAGTTGATTTAGGGAAGGTAAAAGCAAAGGTAAGTAGTACCTAAGAAAAGTTAATGGATTTGGAATGAGAACTAGATTAGACAGCCTAGTCACTTATAATATGGTGAATTTAGGCAAGCTGCCCAACTTCATTGAAACTTTATTTCTCTCATTTATAAAATGAGACAATACTGCTTACTCTATCTACAGGCTTTCTGTAAGAGTGGGCCAGCTGCTACATGGTACGTTTCCCTATCTTGCTCAATTCATCCTTGATGAATAGTATTACCTCCACATGAGGCAGAGCTGACTTCTCTGAATCTTTATGCACCCCACAACTATTCTGGAGTCGTCTGAAGAGATGATTTAGTTTCTCCAGCAGGTACAAATAAACCAAAAAGTGAAATCAGTAATGATATGCAGAAAAAGTAACTGTTTTGAGAAAGTTTAAAGCAATGTGGATCAATAACTTACACATAATTCAAAATTAACCACACTTACAACTGTAATGTTTGTAAATACATGCAATACTTTTTCAAATTATTCAAGTTCATATTGAGATATACTTTCTTTGTCAACATAATAAAACGGACTGAAAACTACCACAAAACACGAAACTCTATAGACTTCCTTTAATTTCTCGCCTGACCCCCCCCAAAATATCTATCACTTATCGAGTACCTATAATATGCCTGAAAACTAGTCATACATTTTATAAAGGTCTCATGAGTCCTCCTAATTCCCCCTAAGGAAAGCATTATCACTGACTATTATAGATGAGGTAGTGCAGAGTAGGTAACAACACAGCCAACGCCACAGAGCTACTGAAAGGCAAAGACAGGGCCGAACCTGGGTCTGTGTAGACTGAAAGCCTCACCCCCTACTCTTATACTTTCCTACATTCTTAGCAAGTGCATGACAGGGGTATCGGTATAAACTGAAAAAAGTCCTCGGTGTCAAAGGCCAAGAATAGCAAATATTTAGAAATAGGCATACATTCTTGTATTTACCTATAAAATGGCATATAAAAACAAATAATCATAGATTAATTATAAAATAAAATGAGCTAACAAAAAAGAAAACCTTTCTTTTAAAAAAGGAAAAAGTTTTTCTCATAGTTAATTGTACTTGACTGAAAACAAAGTCAATGTGTAATGAAAGTGCCTTGCCAGGCACCTGGCATAGAGAAAGTATTCAATAATGCAATGCTCTCTGAAAAAAAATATTTGTTGAGGGCCTACTACATGCAGGAAAGAACACATAATTACTGCCTGCATAATCTTCACCTATTTAAAGGCCCTTACTATTCTGACTTTCCTAAGTACAAATGGTAAGAAACAAAATAGGATTGCCAATGGACCAGAAAACAAGTGGTCAGAGGGAGGCTGGGGTATAAAACATAAATAGAAACAAAAAAAATTTTACTCTCTTCAGTTTTGGAGAAAGCCAAATATAAAACACAGTCATATCCTCCACAAAAAGTGGTTTTAGTCTAGTGTTTAAAACCCTTGTAAAATTTTGTCCTTCTGGGTTTTCTTCCTCAGTTGGCTTTGTGACAACTGCCTCTTTGAGCACCATTCAATCACTACAACAACCATCCTTGAAACCGAAGACCAACACATACTCTTATGTAAACACTTGGATACTCTTTGGTAAGTCTTTAATACTCTAGCAGATTTTGTGCGGAATAATATGAGAGTTTTAATTTCATTTTTAGGAAAGAGGACAATCTCAAATTCAGAGCAGCTCACTCTTTGGGCTTGGAAAAAAGACTTAAAAAATTGTTACTTTTCCCACTTAATACACTTTAAACAGAATCTCATTTAATAAGAGATCAAGCAATAACATAAGAGATATTTACTCAATAATTTCTATGTTTAAATATATAGT